ATTTCATCATGAAATACCAAAACCTTCAGAACCTCTACAATTTCTGTAGGTGTTTGAAAAACCTTCTTACGATTCCAATAATCTTCTAACTCACCTGCAATAAATATATACAATATCTAATCAACAATGGGTTTACCTTCTTAGCCATCAATTCTCGGGAAATCCAATGATTTGAATTATTGAGTACATCTAAATCATTAAATTTTCCTATAATTTATGGGTAAAATGTGGAGTAAGTTTAAAAAATTTACTATTGAAATAAGTTGATCTCTTGTCTTAATTATATTATAAACATATTCACTAAGCATAACCTATTTCCTTTCTGCTCCTTGTCTGATGAGCCTTTAATTTGCTAACAATGGAGCCAAGCTTGTTACCAAAATTTGATAGTTCATATCGGTCGTCACTGAAACAAAGAAATTATAGGTTATATAAAAGTGTAATAATCATACCTCAAGAAAAAAGTTGTGTTGTTTACAAAAAATGTTGTGTTTGAGAGTTTGTTCAACAATTTTTGTTGCATTTGGATGTGATTGATTATTAAAGTTTGCATATAATGTTGATATTATTAAGGTTTAATTTATCGAAATTACATGACAACACTATAAAAGATTCCTGAAATAATCAAAGATACTTAAAGCATTCTAAAGCAATTCATACTCGAGTATATTAGATTCTGTATTTAGTATGGACCTTGTATTAACATGTATGGGTTTGGAATATCCCTGTATTCTTGTAATATTGGTATTATATGAAATAATTTATTTGTCATTATTAGTGACCTTGTATTAACGTGTTTGTTAATTCGTTTTCCTGTTGTTTGTAATGTATAATCTACATACAATAAATGTCTAACGTAATAAATTTTGTTAGATATTACAATTTGCATTTGAATATATTCGATTGACTTAATTATTCAATCTTAATAAAGATATGCCTATACAATGGTGTTACTATGAAGAGTCATATAGGGAAATGCAAATTATTCTTTGTTAGTGGTTACAATTAAAATGTGGTTTTGGGTTATAAAAGTATAATTAGGAATATAGTCAAATGCAAATTATTACATGTTGGTGATTAAAAAATGTTTTCCAAAAACTAGTTATTAACTTATTCTAATAAGATCAGTGCATGAGTATTATAATCATCCACTATTATTTTTTAATCATTGTTGTCTCTTCAAATAAGTGATCTAAATAAATGATGAATAATGTATTGATTATCTATAAATCTTTAGACTAACAGTACAACACAATGCATGAGGATGATGATGATGATATGAATAAACCATACAATTTGGAGAAGATCAAAGGTAGAACTTACGAATCACCCATAAGAAAATCAAGATGATTAGCACATGCTATGATAGTGATGATTGTCCAATAAACAATGACAGGTATCTCCAACAAGCCTTCAGATAATGCTGGAACATCTTTTGGGTCATAACCTTTTGTAGATAACCTCTCTAACTCAGTGATGCAATCAACAGCAATCAATATAGTCTTAACCAAAATGTTATAATCAGAAATGGCTTGTCTATTCCCTTCAATGGTTTGAACTCTATTCATTAGTGCTAATGATCTTCCAAGTTGGTCTCCACTTTGAACTTGAACAAGGTGCCATAAATTTCCATATTCTAGAGAAAAAGCTGCTAGTACTATAACAGCTTTTCCATCCCAAGTATAGCTTTTAAGTTGTTCTAGTATGGAAATTGTTGTCTGGTGTGCATTATGTTCTCCATGAGCTGTGCTCATCATCTACAACAGCAAAATAAATTGTTAGATATTTATGAAAATTGAATGTTCTTGAAATATATAAATATTATTTAAAAATATTAATTATAAAAATAATTGTCCTTATAGAATCTGTTGTTGAAATTTCACATAATTAATTAAGAGCATTATACAAACAAGTGGTTGTGTCATTATAGTGTTGAGGTGTCCAATTTTATAACATTTTGGTTTTACATGATTTTTTAAAATAAGGTAAACTTATACAAAATTATATTATTTCTTGTTACTCTTGATATTATCTTCTTTTTTTGCCTATACATTTAACAATTTTAGGTGAATATTTTTGGTGATGAAGTGGGATAAAGGCTAGTCCAAATGGAGAAGTCCTGTAGAAGTCTTATTAAAAGAGTAGATAAAATAAAGACTATTCTAATTTTTAGAAGAATACTAAAAAAAACTATAAATAAAATGATTAAAAAAATTTAGGAATCAATGTTTTGACAATAAATATAATTATAACATAACATTATGAAGTTGTTTGAATTCATGCAGCCGACCTCATATGGTGAAATAATGACTTAATTGTTGTTATATTTTTAGAGATCAAATGAATTTTGGAGTATTAAACTCTTGAGAATCTAAGCATATTACCCAATTCTTTACCGTAAGTAATCTATTGACATATAATCTGGTAAGAAATATAAAAACTTTTTTAAAACTTTTAAGGAAAGTTAGTTTATGACAATATTAAATTTATATACTCAAATAAATGGTAAAAGTTTAATATAAAATCATTTATAAGCCTATTATAAACATATTAAATGTTTTGGGAGTTCTAAGTCAAACCTTATAAGCAATCTCCTTCATTGTACGAAACGGTGGGTTGAAACTGGATAAGGGAACCTTGTCTTCTATAAGACCAATGGGTGTACCGCTCTGAAAACCATAGGGTAAAACATTTAATTCAGAAGTAATCGTTAAGGTTTTATTTCAAAACCAATTAGATATGAGAGAAGTAGGTCAACATATATTTAAATCATTCCCGAGACTAGACGATTTGAGACTTAATTCTGAACACCAACGTTAATAAATATATACCAAACTTTACCTTAGTTACAACATTGTCAGCAGCTGCAGTGGAATGCTTGATAATGTTTGAGGTAACACTGAAAAGTGATTCAACATCGTACCTTTCAGCATTATGAACATGTGTTATGTAAACTTTCTCAAGAACCTGATCATCAGTTAATGATAATGGATTTATCATCATTGAAGCCTTTGATTGTTGCAAATTGGGCACGTTCGAAGACATGTTTGTGATATATCTCTATGGATCTCTAAGGTTTTAGTGCAATGGTGACTTGTTCTATTAGTCCTATACCTATTTATAACACTAAGAGTGATAGCTTTAGGGATGGGATCAATTCTCCCAAGTTGGTGACCCCAACTCTGTCTCGGTAAATTACATACTGTAATGTCATGGAAAAAATTCACATCACTCTTCCACTAAAAAAATATATTCTTCATTTCATTTCATGTGACTTTTCATTATTTCTTTGAATAACGTGACAGTATATAATTTGTCGGAACAAGTTTGGGGACACCAACTTGAGATCGGGTGATCCCCAACCTAGCTTTAGCATAGATGGATTAGTTGTAAGAATATTTATGGATCCTTTGACATGAATTTACATTTATGTTCATAGTGTTCATGATTCACGTGACATAGGTAGGGGTACTATAGTATTTCTGTATGGTTTCATGTAGGTTGTAGCTTTTGCTTTTGGTAAAGCTGGTAAATATATTATCAAAACTTCCAAGTAAGGAATAATTGTTATGTACTAAAGCTAAAAAAGGAAGGGGAATATTTAATTTGTTTGCAGTTTGAAAACATTCCTCATGCAAAGCAATTGAATGTGTGGGGTTGCGGGAATTGATTACTTTTTATGTAATAACGTAACTTCGGCATCCTCTCTGGAGAGAAAAATTATATGTAAAACAATATAAAAAGTAAAATTAAAATATAATAATATCATTCTATTTATATATGTAGTGATATTTTCATCTTAATATTAAATATAAAAATACTACACATCTTTTATATAGTCATAGTTGATCTAAATTAGATCTTCAATTTCACTTCTTTTTAAAAATACTTGTATTTCTTTGGTTTTTGACAATTCTTGTAATTAGATGTGTCAGACTAAAAATGTGCATATCAAATTAGATGTGCTATATGTGTAATATATGTGTAATTAGATGTGCTATATCGGGTTCGGGCTAATTTGGACCAGACTAAAAAGTTCGGATACAATTTATGCATATCAAATTGAAGTTCAAACCCGCCTTAAGCGGGTCCCACATAATACTAAAAAAACATTTATTTAAATTTTAACATATTTAATCTATTTAAAAAATATATATCATATCATATTAATGTATGACTTATTAACACACTTGTTATACCTAATGCAACCAAACTTATCGTTTTAATGCCCAGCGTTTGAATTAGGACGTGATGTCAAGTCCATATGTATGAATTTTAACACAACTCATCTATTAAACCTCTCATTTCTATTGAACTTTCACTCCATAATACAATATAATTTATAATTTCATTTTAAAATATAGATCTTTGGACACTATCAAAAATAATATCATCTTGGTTTGTAGTAATGACAGTATAGACTCAAGTTTAGAATGAACTATATATGTCAAAATATAACCACCATCGTAATATATGATCATTGTACATTATTTTATGTTTGAAGATCATTTGTATGTTCTTTATCAACACTTTCATTGTGAATTATTATGTTAAATTTGGTTGTGTGAAATTCTCTATTGTAAACAATTATATTACCTTTTAGTTTTCTTGTAAAAGTTATTTTCTTTATTATGCTTTTGTTGTAGAAGTTAAATCTAATTAAATACACAATTAAGAAAAGAAAATGGAGATTTATATGGTTTAATGTCTTATTTGATTTGATACACTGTTTTTGTTATTATGCTTGAAATAATATTATGTAAAATATGAAAAACATGATAATTGTAAACACTCAATTTTGTTCGGCCTACACAAATATCACTAGGGACATGTGAAAACATCATTACACTGGTATATCATATGATTATATATTATGCATATGTCTCAAATTCTACAGCAGGTCATCTAGATGAGAACTGGATTTATTAAAAGACTATGGATAAACTTGTTTGCTTTTCCTGTGACAGATAGGGTTATAGGAATACACGTTTGAGACACCTTAGTCCTTGTGCATGCACATGTTGCAAGTTTCAAGCACCAAATGAGATTCTATTACAACAAATAAAAGTTTCATGACTTGAAGGAAACTGAAACAAAGCTCTCTAGAATGATTAGCCTTAGCGTAAGAGGCAAATCAAATGCTTATATCAATACAAATACAGAGTTATTAAGAAACCACTTCTCAAAGTAATTGTCTAAGAAATTGGAAGAGGAGCACCATTCCACTCATTAAGGCATTCCAGAATAGGATCAATAATTTTGCCTTGGCACATTGCTGTGAACACTTTGTCACACTCTTCACCTGGTGCCATTATGGCTCAACCTTATAAACACAAGCTTTTGACATGAGAGACTGTTCCTTTAGCTACCTCACAGAATATGCATTAGAAGAATTCCCATACTTTGAGAACCTGAAAGTAAAGAATGGACAGGCTATCAGTTGATGGTTAGAATATACAAAGAATCAAATACCAGGACCTTCATACATATTATATATCATGGTACCCACTACCAAGGCCTTATTCCCCAGCACAGAAATTATTCCAAGAAACCGAAGATCAGAAAATACACGCATCTACCAGACGAACAATCATATTATGGTGTGTTGATGAAATCACATAACATTAGAAGAAAAGTGGGCAAAATTTCAGTTACAATAGAATAAATGACAACAATGATGATAAATTTTAACAGTCATAATCAACATAAAGAGCATTGAGAAATCAGCCTGAGCAGTCCCTAGAGTGGCAATTAGCTGCAGTATGGTCAGTTACGATTGTGCATAAATGGCAACAATGATGAGCAGTTAGGTGGCATAATGGGACAATCAAGCAAGCAGAGCAAAGGAAAAGCCAATAATGTTGCATTCAGCTGGCAACTGAAAAGGTTTTCAACACTAACCAACCAGCTATAAAAAGGCAATGTTTCTACACAAGTAGGGGCACGTCGATACCACGTATACACTACCAAAAAAAACCCACACTCATATAACACATTTTCCCCAGAAATCTCTGACTCTTTTCGGCGCATCACAACTATTGAAGCAACCCCAAGGAAACATCATACTACAAAAACACAAGCCCAGATCCTATACCCATACCGCAACACAGACATACATATCACATATACTCGTCCCTAACTCAAAAGATAGGCAACCAATAGACACACACACATTGGTATTCTAAAAATAACCAGAGCTTCCAAAGAACCCTTATCTTCCTCAAATAGCCATCACCCATATATCGCGAATCAGAAAAACACATAACAGCCCAAAGAAACACCATATCATAGTAACAAAATCCCAGTCCATACGCCCACATCACAAACAAATATCACACATACACATAAACCCACAACCACATATCAATACACACTCTGATATCAAACAAGCAGTCAAAAACAGTACAACAGAGACGCATTCATCGATACCACATCTACGGCAACCAAAGAAGAACATACCTACCGGACATACATCATACACATACCACATGACAAATCAGATAGCAATTAGAGAGCACTATACATAGAGATGTCAAAATAAATGAGGGTAAACGAAAATGGGTGGTAACATACCTTTCGAACTACCATTGCAATTGGTGGTTCTTTCTGAGCGAGTTCGATTGGGGTAACTTCCTTCCACCTTCACGGTTTAGATTCAATTCAGGTTGGAAATCACCGCATATCATCATCAAGGGTCGCATAACATAATTGAAGAAAGATAACTCGCCATCATCGCCATTAATGGCTTTCCTAGTCGTCGCCGCTGCCTTTCGTCACAACCTCCGCTACTGCCTGGCGTTGTCGTCGCTACCGAAACCGTCACCGGAGAGAGCACCACCGTCGCTAAGGAGAAACGAGATAGAGGAGAAGAAATGTATCTGCCGGATTACCAGTGACTTGCCGTCGTCCCTTTTATTGCCGCCGCTGCCGGAAGAGAAGAGGATGAAGGAGATAATTTAGGGATTTGATTCCCTTTTGGTACACTGCGCCGGGATGAGGATCCCATGCTGTTGGAAGCGTTCTCAGTCAAGAACCACCGCAAACCGCCGCTGAAATCGTGGCTTCGCCGGATTGAGTTGATGTTGCCTGAGATTTGAAGAAAAGGAAGAGATGGTGATGCCTTTAGGGACTTCAATTCCCATTTCTATTTCTCTAGGAGCAACGGGGATGACCACTTACGTATTCCCCTTCCCTTTGCTTTTCTTTCTTTTTATTTATTTAACTTTTACCTTTTTGTTTTATGTTTCTTATTTAGTTATAGCAATTTTTATTTCCTTTTGTTTATTTTTATGCATATTTGGGTATTGTTATTCTAACATTTTTTACATTAATATTTGTTTTATTGTTATTTGGCATTAGTTTTTGCTACTTCATCTATCTTAAAAGTAAATAAATTTTAACGATGTATTTTAAGTATTTCAAAATATCTTTAAGATTTGATGTGGTGCGAACATTAGTTCTTGCTGCTTCATCTATCTTAAAAATAAATAAATTTCAAACAATGTATTTTAATTATTTCAGAAATAGTCTTTAAGATATGATGCGGCGCAGACATTAGTTCTTGCTAGGGATGGCAATATGGGCTTGGCCCGACGGGCCAGCCCGTTTTGATCGACAATTTTGACGGGTCGGACTGGAGATTTTAGCCCAAAAACCCATATTTAGCCCGGCGTGTAAGGACCCAAATTCTACCCTTGAAATTTTTTCATTTATTTTAATCTTTTCATGCATACATTCGTCATCTTACTTTAATCCCTCATTAATCATTCCGTAAAACCACCCTTATAACCTATTATATTATCATACATTTCATATTGCAGAAAAACATAATTCATTCAATTAATCCTTAGTAACTACCGTATACAACTAGTTATGGGTTTCCGAGAATCATAATGCTCATAACTGCACATACCCCGTGTTACCATAATCAGAATTACATTCATCCCAAAATAGTGTCTAATCAAATATAATACAAAAGTAAAGATAAAGAAATCCAAGTTAGTAAACACATAAAATTCCTAAGTGAGCTTCCTCCTCAAAATCATTCATTTACCTACAATGGGATTATCATAAACAACACACAAAAACAAGGGAGTAAGTCAATAGTTCAAGACTAACATTACATGATAATCCACATTTCAAATACGATTAAACATTGAGATAAATTATAACCACAAGCACGTAAATGTAAACATTCATATCTTCTTTCTTTCATTTCCATATTATTCATATTCATTCTATAGTATATATATCCATAATATATATTTTATAGCATGCATATTACTTTCATGCTAACACACTCATTTCCCATTAATCGTGTTTACCCTTAATCGTATTCACCAAGTTCTTTCACAAAGATAATCATCCACCACGTCGGGTATGTCTAGTTAATTCTCCTTACCACATCGGGTAAGTCTAGTTTATTCTCCATACCACATCGGGCAGGTCGATTTAATCATCCATATCACATCGGGCATGTCTAGTTTATTCTCCATACCACATCGGACAAGTCGAGTTAATCATTCATACCACATCGAGCAGGTCTAGTTCATTCCCCATACCACATCGGGCAGGTATAGTTAATTATCCATACCACCTCGGACAAGTCTAGTTCATTCCCCATACCACATCGGGCAGGTCTAGTTAATTATCCATACCACATCGGGCAGGTCTAGTTCATTCCCCATACCACATCGGGCAGGTCTAGTTCATTATCCATACCACATCGGGCAGGTCTAAACCACAATAATCCACTACCACTCCAAGTAGGACAACAACATTAATCCACTACCACTCCGGGTAGGACAACGACATTAATCCACTACCACTCCGGGTAGGACAACAACATTAATCCACTACCACTTCGGGTAGGACAACGATATTAATCCACTACCACTCCGGGTAGGACAACAACAATAATTCACTACCTCTACGGGTAGGATAACAACAATAATCCACTACCACTACGGGTAGGATAACAACAATAAACCACTACCACTTCGGGTAGGATAATAACAATAAACCACTACCACTTCGGGTAGGGTAACAACAATATTCCTACAAACATATTACCTCTTTCACATACCTCATTCACATTAGCTCGTATGAGTTAGAAACACTTATCCCTTACCTTGGTGAGCGTTGAAGTCAGTTTCAAGTAACTTTACGAATTTCCTCCGCGATTTCCTCCAACCTTAGGATCTTTCCTCATTCCTACCAATAACAACAATGTCAGTCATTTATTCAAAATAACACATAAATGACTCGTATTTCATCGTCAAACATACAAGATATTCACATATTTTCATGGTTTCCAACACTACTTTAATACGAGTTTCCAAACATCTAAAACATACATATTCATCTCATATATCAACATTTAAGCACAAACTCATCTCCCACATTTAACATTTCACCCATTTCCCTTTTTACTCATATTCACATTTTGGGGGTTTTGGGGTTTTCATGAATAAATCCACAAAACCTTTCCATTCATGAAATACCAACTCTAAACCAAGAGTTTATAAGAGAAAAACAACATAAAACGAACCATAACTCTAAAGGAAGAGTTTCCATGGTTTCTCATATTTTGAGAAGAGATCCATATACCCAAAAACGAGTTTGAAAGGGAGAAAGAGAGTTAGAGTCAAGAGATTTACCTCTTCTCAAGCTTCTAGATGATTTCCACGAGTTCTTGCTCTCAAAATCACCTTCTCCTCTCTTCTCTCTCAATTTCTAAGCCTAAAATGTGTTTGGGGTTTCTATTTTAAAGTGGAATCGTCGGGTTCTCGCTCAAGCGAGCCCATTCTCGCTCAGGCGAGAAAATCCCGCCTTTTTAAAATTTCAGATCTGACGCTCTCGCTCAAGCGAGATAATTCTCGCTCAGGCGATGCATCTCTCGCTTAAGTGAGGATCTTCTCGCTCAGGCGAGAATCTCACAGTTTCGACAGGTCCTGAATGCCACTTTTCTCGCCCAGGCGAGACAACTCTTGCTCAGGCGAGACCACTCTCGCTCAAGCGAGACCATTCTCGCTCAAGCGAAAATCCTTCAGTATAGCCCAAGATTTCACCCTCCCATGTGAGCCTCTCCCGCTCAAGCGACAATTCTCTCGCTCAAGCGAGACTCCCAGGACTGATACTATAATTTAAAGGCTTTAAAATCAAGGGTGTTACAATCCTCCCCCTCTTATAGGAATTTTCGTCCCCGAAAATTTTATTAGACTAATCTTGGAAAAATATCATCGCCTAGACCTTAAACACAAGATATACTCAACCAAATTCATTCTCGATCATCTAATCCATTACGATTACTTAACGACCATCAAGGGCACACACACCACTAAACCGTGGTATCACAAGGCCTATTCATGGACAATCACCTCAAGGTCCAGATGCTAAGATCCCAATCTCGAACAGCTCTAACAACTAAGAGAACGAAACTGTAATCGGACTAAAGATTTCCCAGTATTCATCAAGGACCATAGGTCTCTTTGACCTATCCAGCTAACAATTCTCACATACATTGAGAATCCCAATAACACTTCTGAAACCAAGAGAATGGGGAACTCCTTACCCCTCATCTACCACTATGCATCATTTAACACCCAACATGCACTAGCTAGTTTCACCTTCACTTAAGGGATTAGCATAAATTCATTCCACTCATTAAACAAAACCACTATTTGCCCAAAATTTACCTTAGCATTCCCAACATTGCATGCACTACCACATAGACTCCAGGTAGTCACTCAACAAAACATCTACATAACTAAGACTTTTAGAGTTTCTCTTCTCGTACAAAATCAAACTATCCAGTAATGATCCACTTACGTCAAACATTTCCGCCATCATACCTTGCAGTAGAAAGAAATTACTGATCCCTAGCCTCAATTGAACACAAAAAACCATTGATTCACCCCAAAACTAGGTACTCTATTACCAATCGACAAGTGCAAGTTGACAAACACTCAGTTCCATAACATGCGTTAGAATTGGATACCCCAGTTACGCTAGCAAATATAAATTTAGTACCCCACTTGAAGTCCGTCTAAAAATACGTGGTCATAATCATATCACCAAATTCTTAACAACCTCTTATTTATCAAGATACGGTTGCTAAAATTCTGGAATTTTCCAACATGATACTAAATCAATGTTCAGCCACAAGCTACGTGTCGCCCAAAAATGATTTTCAAAAATTGTTTGAACCCACGACTCATGGCAACCATGTCGTGAAAACGAAGTTTACATAACTCAACACCCTTTATCTCATACGGTTCACTACAATCATGCATAACAATTACTGACACTCATGGAACAGAAACAACTTTTGTCGGTACAACATTCAAAGCAGATAATTGGTGTACACACCACTATATCGTGTATCGCCAATGTTCTACTGCAAAAAGACCGATCATCAGAGACCAAAAGTTTCACGTCTATTCAAATGCATTCATCACATTGACGGGGTAAGTAACTTAACTAGCCTCCTCCCTTATCTGGCAATATAAGTTTTACCCCTGAGCTTACATATACATATTAATGCAACTAGATCTTAAATCCTTACTAAGATACTTAACAAGAATATTTCACATCAACAATTATCACCTATTCAGGCATAACACGATTTGTTAACCACCAGTCCATCGCCAGGATTAAATCCAGCTGGGACATCATTGAGCGTATCAAAGCTATGGTAAAGGTTCTACCATTTACCCCAACCGTACACTAAGACACCAATATCGATAACTACCACCGGTACATTGGGTGGGGTGGATGCAACTAAGTCGAAAACAACGACTCTGTGTACAATCTCAGTCGGTTCACACATTCAACAAATATAAGGAGTGTGTCGCTACCAAATTAAACAACACTAAAAGGAATATTTGTCACCATGCCATTACCTCTAACCGGATCATCAACACCTGACGTCCCTGCTCCATTCGGGGTAACCACCCGACTATGGTTCCTTGCCCCCTCAGCATGAATGACATTAAGTCTCCGATCTAGCTTGGGACATTAAGGGTATGAAAGTCCATGTTATTAGCGAGGGTACCGTTTTCGTAATCAGCTCCCGAGCTAATACCTTCCCCGATTCATAATCAACTCCCGAGCTCAGAATCTCTGTTCAAAGACCAAATTATCCTAATTGGGCTTATTAGAGAGTTTTCTACGTTATA